GCGGGTGACAGGGACCCCTTCCAGATGTGCTGCCCGACAAAACTCACTACACCGATGGATGGCCTGGCTTTTTCCCTTTGTTTTCCAAGCCACGGTGCCGCGGCAGCACCAAAACGCCCCCCGCCGCGGTGCTGAGGGTGCTGCCCGCGCCTGTCCCCCGTGGCACCCTGACCCCCACCCAACACGTGCTGGGCTCAACGGGGTCGAGTCACGCCAGAGCAGGTCCCGGCTGGTAATTAAGCTGCCAATCAAGCGGCTGAGGGTGCTTTTTCATTAGTTTGCTATAAATGACAAAGCCAATTCTCCGGGTACAAATTATAAATAAAATCACAGCGGGGCCTCGTGAACCACAGCGACGTCACGGAGGAGTTAGGGATGAAAGACACGGCTGGGCTAAAAATAATACAGGGCACGGTCATTTGTTTTTCTTTAAAATAAAGGCCTTATTATTAAAATGGCAATAATGGCAGATGGAATTGACTTTTCAGCCGTCCCACCGCTTTGGTTTTGAGGTGGGTTTGGGTTTTAATTCGGCCGAGCTGCTGCTGTTGAATCATGCCAGATGCCCTGCCTGCGGCCCAGGCCTCCCGGCTGAATCCCGTTCCCGGCTCTGGGATGAGGATGGGACTTGAGCATCCCCGGTTCCTCGAGTGTTTCAGATCCAACCTTGAGATGTTCCCGTTTTAGGGAGTCCCCTTCGCGTTCCCGTAGAACCTGACAGTGGAGGAGTCCAAAAATAAAATTAGAGGCAGATTAAAACTTGCAGGAACCCTAATATGGCTTTAATATATTTAAATTTTTCATATTTACATTTTTAATATCTATATTTACATATTCCCTAATACCTTTTTAATATGCAATTTTTTTTAAGTTCTCGGTGTGTTTTTATAATCGTTTTGACTACTGAAACAGATCCCGGCCCCAAAAGTCCTGGGGTCGTCATCCCTAGCAATTACAAGGATTTCTGAACCGTTCTCGTTTCTCTGCCCGGAGTTAACCCTTTGTGGTGAGCGCGAGGGCAGGCGGCTTTGCCAGGGTTGTGGCGTCACCTTGGGGTGGGGAACCGGGACTTTGTGCCAGTTTCCCGGGAGGGAGATGGGGGGAAGCGACGTTGAGGCTGGCACATGGTGCAGCCTGGGGAAACAAGCTGCTCCCTAATCCGGCTGATTTCTCTCTCTTTTCCTATTTTTCTTGCCCCCAGGTCGGACAAAACCCTCCAGGACATAGTGTACAAACTGGTCCCGGGGCTCTTCAAAGGGAAAGCCATGGACGATTGTAGCATTTGGGGTTGTTTGTAACTCGCTCCCACCCACCAGTGAAACTGGTCCCCCCTGGTTTCGCGCTGCCCACGCACTCCCCTGCCCGTGTAATGGGGACAAGTGGGAAAACTCCTGGTGTGAACGGACAGGGAAGGGTCCATCCGGATAGCGCCCTGGGGGCTGCTGCTGGGGGGCACCACGAAAAGCAAAGCTGGGAGCAGGAGCCGCAGATTTGCTCTCCAAGTGCCTGCCCTTCCTCAGGGGGAAAAGTGGGGGGGTCTGGAGGTGTGGGAGGACTTGAGGACAGTCGAGCCGCCATAGGGGCGTTCTCACGGCAGCGGGTTTGCGGCCGCTCCGAGGGGTTTGCTGCTACGACTCGATGGCTCTCGCTCAAGCGACTGCTCTCCGACGGGTCCATCCGTACCCCGTGCTCCAGCTGCCGGCAGGGAGCAGCCGCTCGGGAGCAGCCGCTCGGCAGCCCGCGGCGTCCTCTTGCTCCCCCCTCTCTGCGCCCATCTCCCCCTGGGTGTGATTTTTCTCCCTCCTCCCGCAGATGAGATGAAGAGGCGGCGTGACTTCTACGCAGCCTACCCCATGGCAGAGGGTGAGTGTCAGCCTCCGGGACCACCCCCTCACCCCATCTGTGCCCCCCACAACGGCTCAGCCTCTCTCTCCCTCTGCTCCCGCAGTTCCCAACGGCTCCAACGAAGATCGCGGGGAAGTCTCCGAGCAGGACAAGGTGAACCTGACGGACGACGAGATCGTCAGCCTGTCCATAGAGTTTTACGAAGGGTCCAGGTACCGTTTTTTGGCTGCTGCTGCGCCTCTGCCTGCGTTCGGGGGTTGTGAATAGACCCTCCTTTCCCTCTCGGGAGATGGAGCTGAGATGCCACGTGGTGAGGCACCGGGACAAGCTGTGGATGCCCCATCCCTGGAAGTGTCCAAGGCCAGGCTGGATGAGGCTTGGAGCAACCTGGTCTAGTGGAAGGTGTCCCTGCCCATGGCAGGGGGTGGGTCTGAGGGGGCTTTAAG